GGCCCAGACCAAGGTCAAAGGGAGAAGAAAGGATTCAAGGAATATCAACATGTTAACAAAGGGTAGGAACAGTTCCAACTTCCATGGAGTGCCCCTCCCTTCCCTTCAAAGAAGACCACCCATGTGGCTAAACCACAGTGGAAAGTTCCTCCCTAAACCTGTCCTAATCTACTTTAAGATGTGGTATTCCCTGGTCTGTAGGTCTGCCTGTCTCTCTCTGCAGACCAAGGAAGGACTCCCACCGGGGAGTCACCTTAATGCTTTTCTAGCTTCCTTTCTTTCTCTGGTCCCTTCTTTGAGTCCTTGGCCTTACGTCCAATGCGAAGACCTAACATTAAGGAGATCTCCTTCTGGACTTTGAAGGCCATTTTCAAGTTTTTGGAATTTCCCCAAATACTGAGAGCAGACTGCAAAATGAAATGTGTATGAAAGCCTAATTGGCTTTCAGGGATGGTCAAAGAGATGTAAAACTTATGAGAGATAACAAGAGTGGGCTTTTCTTTCTAATTTTAGGCCATTTTCTTTCAGTTATTCCTAGTGTGGCTTTATGTGTGGCCTTTCAAAGGCTGATTAGCATTTGATTAGCTAATCAAATAAGCATTTGGGACCTTTGCTGATAATCTCAATTAGGCTGTTTACAGAGAACTGCCTTAGTGTCTCCAGAGTGGGCAGGATTCTGGTGTGAAATTCATCTGCATTAAGACTGCACCTGGATCCACACCTGGTCTTTTTCTCAGGCGATAGGGTACAGACTGCCAGGGTGAAAGGTGATATAAATGTCATGCCAGGTTTATTTGTAAGAATGAGTGAAATACTCAAATTCTGTAATACAGGTGGTGGGATTAGATGAAAAAAATTCTAGCTTCTGATGAATAACCCAGAGGGCAGTAAGAGAGAACAGAACATTCACTTGTACAATTCCCTCTGCTCCTGCAATCTCTAAGAGGAAGTGCAAGAGCTGGCAGAGGTTGACAAGGGGTGGGGAAGCAGGAGCTGTTTCTAGATGTTGCTCCCTGTGGTTTTTGTCAGGTGAGTACAACTCAGCAACTGTATGAACAACAGATCTAAATGCTGTCTTATCCTGTGCCATTATCACACTTCCTGACAACATTAGAAACCTGCTGTGGCAGTCACTGTGTCAACCCATTTGGTTGAGGGTCTTCCTCACCTTTGTTTACCTTCCTCTATCTCTCTGAGCATCATGTTCCTCTCCAAGGATTAACTCCTCCTAGCATCATCCAAAAGTACATGAGGCAAAGCCTCATCATCCTGGCATCCAAGGAACACACTAGCTGCACCCTCCCCAGGACATATTTGGTTTGTTCTTTTGGCAGTCCATGGATGTTCAGCACTTTTCTCCAACACCGATTTTCAATGCTCAAAACCACCAATTCTTCTGTCACCCTTGTTCATTGTCCAGCTCTCAGATGCATAGCAAGTGATCGAAAAGATCATAAGATGACTGAGACGCACCTTAGTCTTCAAACTGACATCATTACTCCTAAATAATTTAGAGAGGACTCTAACTGCAGACTTTCCTAGTGCAATACATCTCTTGATTTCCTGACTGCTGGTACCAAGGGTGTTAATGGTGGTTCCATGTAAGATGGAGCTGTTGACAATTTCAATCTTTTCTACTTCTTTCATAAAGCTGCTTATGGGACCAGTGGGAAGAATCTTTGTTTTCATGACATTGAGATGCAATCCATAGTGCTTCAAGTCCTCCTCACTTTCAGTAAGCAAACTGTATCATTTGCATAACAAAGATTATTGATGAGTCTCCCTCAGATCCCAATGCTACATTCTTCTGCATGGAGTCCAGATCTTGAATAATTTTGCTCAGGATACAGACTGAATAGGTATGGAGAGAGAATACAACCCTGACAAATTCCCTTAATTTTAAACCCTTGCTCTGTTCACACAACAGCCTCCTGGTCTAAGTATGTATGAGCACAATTAAGTGCAGTGAGATTCCCATTCTTCTCAATGTTAGCAATAACTTGAGGAAGGGGCTGGTAAAGGGGTGGTTGGGTTTGGGGCAGAAAAGGAGCACATTTGCAATTTCCATGAAGGGGGAGGATCATGGTCAATGGAGTCTATAGACTGGATGGAGAAGCAGAGGAATGGAGAAACAGGATTTGTAAAGGGGAAAAGGAAGTACATAGGAAGTGCAAAGAAGTGGACTTCTGCCCACTTATGAGACCACCAACAGAAATGATCTACATCAGTAAGTATGCTACAGTCTAGGGTATGCTCAGGATGGTCACTGCGAGTTATTATCCAAATGTACTGTGGCCAAGCTGTATTTGTGAAGAAAATGAGTTTACAGGGTTTAATAATGTAACTTTTTATGATTTTTTAGAAGCCATCTCAATAGAGGAGATGAACTAACAGACTGATGGCTACCCATGATTTGACCCAACTCTAGAGCCAATTATTTGGAAAATGGAGAAGAAGTTTGAAAGGCATCCCCTTTGGCTTCTCAAATCTTTGGCAGAAGGAAGTCTCCAGTTAAATGTCCACAAAGAGAGACTGGGCTAGGACTCCTGGAGAAAAAGACCTGTAACCAGTGCTGGATTTTGGAATTCTTTTAAGTGGGAACATCTGCTGTCAGGGACCTTTCCAGAGTACTGAAGAGCAACAATGTCAGCCTAGAGATTAAGGTGCACCTAACCCAAGCCATGTTTGTTGTTGTTGTGTACCATCAAATCAGATTCAACTGGCACAGGAGGTGATTGCTGGCCCCTCCTCCAGTGGAACATCTGGTGGATTTGAACCACATGCCTTGGGGATTGCAGCACAGCCAAGGCATAGTTTTTACATTTACTATGCATCCGAAAGCTGGACAATGACTAAGGATGAGAGAAGAACAGTTGCCTTTGAGTTGTTGTGCTGGAGAAGAGTATTAAACATATCATAGACTGCTAAGAGAACAAATAGGTCTGTCCTGGAGTGAGTGAAACTGAACTGCTCCTTGGAGGCAAGGATACTGAAGTTTCGTCTGACATACTTTGGGCATATTGCCAGGAGAGACCAATCCTTAGAGAAGGATATTATGCTTGTAAGGGTGGGGGGACAGCACAAAAGAGGAAGATCCTGGATGAGATGGATTGACTCAGTGACTGGGCAATGGGGGTCAGTGTGTCAGAGACAGTGAAACTGGCTCAGGATAGGGCAGGATTTAGATCTACTGTACACAGGGATGCTGCGTCGCAAGTGACTGGATGGTATATAACAACATGAGTGGGAGTCCATGATAAAATAGAGGGCTCCAGAGAACAGGCCAGAATCATACTTTTTTGGGTTGCCTCAAGAGAACGAGAAAAAAAAGAGAGGATCCTCTCTCCACCGTCAGAGGATTCATCCTCAGTGAGCTTCTGCCTACTGTGCCTCAGGGTGCAAGGGGAGGATAAAGAAGGAGAGAGCAAGGGAGTTAACTTATAGATGAGCCAGGTGGTGGTGCTGAGGCTCAAGTCCCAGAGTTTGATTACTTCTGAACTGCAGTGAGGAGAGGTCTGTTGCAGAGGTCTGTTCCCCATGCAGGCCACGAGGTGAAAGGTCCAACTCACTACAGTCCAGAAGCAACACTAGCTGGATGTTTATTTAATGTCTATACTTTGGTGAAAGTGAGCTGAGGCTCAACTGGTGTCAGCCATAAGAGTCTTTTTCCTACATTCCTTACATTAATAACAAGTTGAATAAAAAACAGAAGAGTTGTAACTGCATTCTGGTTGGGAAAGGAGTTATTAATTAGACTCCTTATAGCCTGCTAGAAGTAGGTAAGAAATACAAATAGCTTATAGTATCTGGTCAGAATTAATTTCTCATCTCTCAATTCTGAAAAGGGGAGCTCTAGCTGCCAACTGGGTAAAAAGCTACACTGTCAACCCAAAGGCACATGGTTTGAATTCACCAGCTGCTCCATGGGAGAACAATGGGAAATCAATCTCTCATGTGAGATTTACTGCCTCTGAAAACCCAATGGGGGGTCAGTTATGAATTAGTTCCAACTCAATGGTACATAATCCCAACAACAATTTTAAAAAAGTAACAGCAAGAATTAAAGACGTCTATGTTTTTAGTCTAGTAATATTTTGTAAACATAAAACTTAAGCATAAAGTTTAGTGCATCTTTTTGACATACATTTAAGTAACCCGTTCTGGTAAAAGAACAGGCTCATTCATTTATATGAGCAAATGATTTCTTCTCAAAGCTCTTTGGATAGTTCTGGGCATCAAAATAAGTCTGACAACAAAAGGAGGCTGAGCGGGTTAGGTTAGTATCACTGCACTCTGCATTATTACACACTATGAATAGGACATCTCCTTTGTCTGTACTGAATAGGGTCCACTATTAACCATAAGGTCAGAAAACCTGGCTCTTCATTCATTTCTTTAACACTTCATCTTTTTAAAAATCATATACACGGGCAGCTTTGGTGGCCTAGTGGCAAGAAGCTGCACTACAATGCCAGAGGTGCACAATTCGAATCCACCAGATCCTCTGCCGGAGAAGGAGGGACAATCTCCTCCTGTACGAGTCAGATACTATTTGATGGTGTACACACACACACACACAATCATATACACGTGCTTCAATAAGTATGTGAACACACACACACAAAATACCCTAAGGACATGATTTAGCAATGACACCAACTAATAGGTAAAATTCCTTAAGAATCTTAAGGGCAAATTTGCTTAAGGTTCTTGGTCCTCTTCCCTCTCTATTTCTTGACCTCTCCAAGAAAAATACTGTTTGGTTCATCAGTCAGACTTGTCTCACTCATGGCTCTTACTCTGGACAGGACCAAAAGGAGAAGGCCAGGAGAGTTCTTCAGGTGTAGGGGCTCTAGAATACTCCAAATGCTGTATTTCCCATTCTTAGGGCAAGAATGAACTTCTTTTGGTAGGTTCCTCCTTCCTTTTGACATTCCTTTTAATCATCAATTATAGCTAACCAGATCATCGTGAAGTAAAAGTTCTAAATTAATACATACGTTTCGGTGGCAGGATCATAAACTTCGCAGGAGTTCAGCACTCTCCCAGAAACATTGTTCCCTAAACTTCCACCACAAACATAGATCAAGCCATTGGCTTCCACCATCCCATGGCTGCAGCGTTGAGTCAGCATGCTAGGCTTTGTGTGCCAACTCTCAGTTCTTGTATCATAGCACTCAAACAAATACAGCGCAGAGTTTCCTGTGAAAGAAAAGGGTCCAAAATACTAAAAATAAAACCAAAAGAAAAGGGTCCCTTTTGCTTACTGTCTCTGTCTCTGAGTATGTGTGTGTAGCTATAGTGGGGGAAGATTCAGGGTTGTACAGTCAGTTTTACACTCCATCAACAGAGACAAAAAAGGGTAGGAAAAATATTTATTTTTCTATTGTGTACCATGGAGTCAGATCCAACTAGATTGCCTCTCCTCCAGTGGAACATCTGGTGGATTAGAACTGTGTGCCTTTGGGACTGCAGCATAGTTCCTTGCTACTAGGCCACAAGAACTCCCTAAATCCTTCTTCTAAATGTAAATATTCTTACATTTCACTTTGTTGTTGTTGTTAGGTGCCATCAAGTTGAGTATGACGCATAGTAACCCTATGAACAAAAGATCCAAACCCATTCTATCCTGTGCCATCACCACAGTTTCTGACACACAGGATCCCATTGTAGCAGTCACTGTGTCAATCCACCTAATGGAGGGTCTTCCTCTTCTTCACTGACCCTTCACTCTTCCCAGCATCATCTCTCTCCAAGAAATAGTCCCCTCTTTTTTTGTATGTGTGTGTGTGTGTACCATCAAATTGGATCTGACTGGTACAGGAGATTGTCCCTCCTTTTCCAGCAGAGCATCTGGTGGATTCAAACCAAGCACCTTTGAGATTGCAGTACAGTTTCTTGCCACTGGGCCACCAGAGCTCCTGTAATAGTACCCTCTTAGCAACATGTCCAAAATATATGAGGTGAAGTCTCATCATTCTTGCCTCCAAAGAGCTCTCTAGCTCTCCAAGACATATCTCTTCTCTTGGCCATCCATGGGATGTTCAGTGCTCTTCTCCAACACCACAGCTCAAAGGCAACAATTCTTTTCCTGTCATCCTTATTCACTGTTCAGCTCTCAGATGCATAGCAAGAGATCTGAAAGATTATGGCCTGAATCAGACATATCTTAGTCTTAAAGCTGACATCATTACTTGTCAATAATTTGGAGAGGTCCCTAACTGCATATTTCTCCAGTGCAATGTGTGTTCTAATTTCCTGGTACCAAAGGTGTTAATTGTGGATCCAAGGAAGATGAAACTGTTGGCAAAGCTGTTTACAAAGTGAAAATACAAATATTTTTATATTTTTATGTTTTTGTTGTAATGTGCCACTATGACTGATAGGAACTCTATGAATCAAAGACCCAAACTCTGTCCTCTCCTGTGCCATCCTTTCATATACAGACTCCATGTAATACTCAAAGAAAGGTCTATTGTAGAGATTTAATTATTGATAACTGATCATTAGAAAAAGACATTTGTTTGATTTATAAAGAAAACCAAAATACGAAACATTATAAAATGAAGAAAAAGAATATATATTTCACCTATTGCTGCAGTTTAAAATTGATCAAACATGCAGTCATGGTGCAATGACAGTTCTTAGTAAATGAAATGTGAAAGTTGAAGAAAAAGAACTAGTACTGGAAAATATGGCCTTGGTAACAAAACAAGCACATGACAGAATTTTGCAAGATCAAGGACTTATTCATGGTACGTTATTAGGAAAGATGCAGAAAAGCACATAAAAAGTTACTAGTTGTCTAATCTGTACCTGGGATATTTATTTATTAAAAATCACCACTGCATAACTAACAAATTATCCAACTGAAGTAAAGGTTGTACATCCCATACTTAGTTCTGACCAGTACATATATACCACTGCCAATCATTAGGTAAAAAAGTTAAAGAAGAGAGCAAATGAGAAGAACAATTCTCTTTTTCTGATACAAAGAAAGGACAGATAACACCAGCATGAATGTCCTAAGAAGTGCTTAAAGGTTCTATGCCAAACTCTGAAATCTTTAAAGCAAATATACACCTTGTCAGAAAAGGAAAATATATTTTACCCTAAAAAAAGCACCAGAAAAGTTGGAAGATTGCATCCTAACTTGTGACACTAACAAAAACAAGGCACTCCTACTGACTTGGCTCTCACAGGTTCACAAAACACCCCATGTAGTACAATGAATTAATATGGTCCTTCCACCTACAATCTTCCATTTTGTGATGAAAGACTTATTGTATCAAGGAAATAGGATTAGGGAAGGATACAAGCCATACCTGACCAACTCTATGTAAACTCTTGGAAGCTCAATGCTCGCTTTCTTGGTACATGGCCACTAACCCAACCCCAGCTGAGGTCTAAGTGACAATCTGTGAGATCCAGGCACACTGCTCACCGGTTTCTGCAACACTGGCCTACATCATCCACAGTCATGTGACCCATATCCCTGATGGGCTTTGAGTTTCTAGGAGACCTTCCAGCGAACCCAAAAAAACATGGATGGGAGTGGGAGAACTGAACGGAGGAGGAATAATTAATGTCTGAGATGATGGACTGGGTTGATAGTTCGACGACTGTTGATCTCTATTGTATTAAAAAAACCTTTTTCTAATGATTGTAAAAGAAATTACTCATGCAATCACTTTAAAACGAAACTGGGTGTGTGTGGAAATTGTGTAATGATCAAAGACTTTCTTTTCAAAGAGAAAAGCGAATTGGGGGGTTGCGTACAGAGGAAAATGTGCAACAATGAATGAATGGAAATCCAAGTTCTATACAAGTTTTTGTTAAAATCTCAATTAAAAGGAAAAAACCCCACAAAAAACAAACAAACAAACAACAAAAAAACAGCCCAACAAAAAAAACCCCTAAAATGTGGATGGTGTTAGTTATGTTTCAACATCATAAAAAAATGGACAGTTAACGTATTTTTGAAAGTGGAAAGCCTTACAAATTATTAATCTAAAAAAGAACCAACTAAACTGAAGAAGAAATAGATTCTAATACACACCTATGTTTATCACGGCTTTGTTCACAATAGCAAGGAGTTGGAAACAACTAAGTGCCCATCAACAAACGAATGGATAGAGAAGCTATGGTATATTCACACAATGGAATACTACGCTGCATTGAAAAACAAGGGACTCATACAATATTATTCAAAATGGGTGACCCTTGAGGACATTATGCTACGTGAAATATCTCAGTCACAAAAGGACAAATACTTCATAGTGCCACTGTTGTAAAATGCGACTGACATCGGGGTTGGCAGAAGACTGAGAAAGATGGGATAAATAATTTATATTGCTTTGAAACAGATGAGAGAGAAAACTGTTTAAAAGGAGTATGTGATTAGGTATTATTGTCATGATAGAAGTCCAGAATGAAGGCTGCATAGTGGAGTGGACCTGGGGGGAGGGATTGTTAAAACAATGAAAGAATTTTTCTTTTACTTTTCAAAGAGAAGAGTGTACGAGGTGTGGAGGGGAGGGCAGGGAGAAAAGTGCATCAGTGAATGAATGGAAATCCAAAGTCTCTGTAAATTTTCATTAAAATTAATTAAAAAAAAAGAAATAAATTCTAAAAATGTTAACAGATGTGCATTTAAATTGTGAAGAAAAGCATCCTCATCAATGATACCAACTGTCTACTTCCCTAGGAGAGTAATGAGACTTAACTTTAAAAGACTTTCCCCAAACACACACAATATTAAGTCCTTACCTACTTCGGAACCTCCAGATGTATATATTTTGCCTTCTGCAGCACAGGCAGCAAGGCTGTCTCGAGGTGTCGGAGGGCCCAGCTTAGAATACCAGCTATCCTTTACCACATTATAGCAGTCCATGCGTTTTATAGGGAAAAGCTGAGAGCCACCCAAGATGTAAACAACATTGTCCCAGAACACGCACGCTGCATCTCTTCGTTTTTCAAAGGGGCAGCGGATGTCTGTCCAGCTGTAATCCTGTAACAGGAGAGGACAGCAAGTTTTCAGTAAGGGAAAAACAGAATCAAAAAACAAAAACTAAAGAGAAGGTCAAGTAAACAAAAGAAAAGTATGTTCGAAGGCTATTGACTGCATGGGAGGAGACTGCTCATCTTTCTCTCTAGGTGTTGCTATTCGATTCAAACTGCTAGAGAAGCGTGACCTTGACTTAGCAGGGCAGCTCCCTATGGACTATGCAACCAGATCTTCCCAATGAAAAATGCCAACAACCACGGACTGACTAAAAAAAAAAACCAGTATGATTTTAAAGTTTCACTCAAATAATTATTTTTAAAAAATCAGAAAAATGAAGGGAGTTCTGGTGGCCTACTGGAAAGAAGTTGTGCTGCAATCCCAAAGGTGAGCGGTTCGAATCGACCTGATGCTCCCCTGTGCCAGTGAGATCCTACTCGATAGTATACAATAACAACAGCCAAACTCAAGACTAAAACTCATTAAAACTTACTACAAAGCTACAGTTATCAAAATTATGGCCCTGATAAGAAAAAAGCACAACAGACCAATGAATAGGTCTTCTTCCATTCTAAATAAAAGTCACCATGAGATTATTTATATTGTGAGCTTTCTGCAGAATGTTGGGTATATGACCGCCAATCTGTCTTCTATTCCTTCAAACAATTCATTTCACCAAGCAAAGCAGTATGTGTAATCATTAACACTTGAGTTTCCTTTGGGAAAAACCTGACATATCTATTACACATATGGATTCATCATACGGAATGTTATAGAACATCCAAAGTATTACAGAACATTAAGGAATGATCTTTTAGAAAATGCCATTCCTTTTATTTAACCATAAATGAGCCGCTAAATGTGGAATATCTCAACTCTTACTAGTGATGAGTGGTCTGCTTGTTGGATGACAAGGAAAAAAATCCATAGCTTTAATCCCTCAGGACATTAATTCTCAAATTAGGACCTATGTGTCCTGGGTTAATTACTCTGTGATGTACTGACACTGCAGGAACATAAAACTGTAGCACAAATTTAACATCTTTCTGAGGCTTCTGTTTTCTACAGTGGACATTAGTAATGGAGAAAAAGTTACACTTACTCTTTTTATAAAAATAGATTAAAAAAATTTTATATTAGTCTGCATATAAAATTCATATACACTGTTTCATAAATGTACACTGTGCTTCATATGATCATTCATATACATTATGTTTTATAAATCACTATTGATCTATGCCTACTATTACCTCATCTTCTCAGGTCCCCACTGGATCTTTCCTAATTCCTTTACACCCCCCATTTCCCATCAATCTCCACCATCCTAGTATTTCCCCCTTCACTTGTTCTCTTAAGGCTCTTATCTGATTTTTGTGTTTTCGAGCAGCTGATGGTTTCCAAATGCTAGGCTTTGGGCTGGCAGCAAAATTCCTTTCCCATGGAGCTCCTGGCTCATTAGGCCACCAGAGCTATAGGATATCTAGGACAAAGCAAATGCTTTATCTCCTTGCAATTATTAGAAAACGTCAAGATTTTTCAACTTTCCTAACGCTGGAGTTACTATCAGTAGGTATTATACATGACACAGCTGAACTTGACAAATGCTAATTGCAACATTCTGTCTAATCTTACAGACAGAGAAATCAAATGTTCTTTGCACGAATTTCTACCTTGAATTAAAGACTTCATTTTAGATAAAATGCAATGTTTCACATTCAGACTCATTCAAATGGACTTGCGTTGAAACACTTCTGGCAATGACTGTGTATGCGCATGCAAGGTAAAGAGTGAAAGGTGACTGGATGTTCCCCTTTGATAACTGGTTACACAGCCTACCTAGGAAGAAACATTAACAAAGAGACAAGAGAAAAACGGGCGGGGAAGGGATGCCAGGCCTAACAGCTCAGTGAGAGTGTTAGGATCTTATCCTTGGGACAAAAACTCTTCTAACTTGAGGGTAATGTGAGGAAGGGTCTCTTAGGGCTCCCTGCACTCCTAGGACACAGCGCGAGGTGGAAGAATAGCACTAGAGCTTAGAAATCTTAAGTACGTAAATTGGCAGGGAGCTCTGGGGGCCTAGCGTTAAGAAGCTGAGCTGCAGTCCCGAAGGCGCTCGAGGCCACCAGCTGCTCCACCGGAGGGTGGGCAATCTCCTCCTGGGCAATTTAACCGCCTCTGAAAACCCACCAGCGGGTCAATGGGTCAACTCTAGGTCGGTTCCGACCCGATGGTACACAACAGCAACATAATTGGCAGGAGTCTGAGGAAGTGTTTAAAAAATAGAATTTAACTCCGTTACTTTTCCCCCCTGCTGTGTACCGTCAAATTGGATCTGACTGGCACAGGAGGAGATTGCCCCTCCTCCTTCGCCAGATGCTCTGCTGGATTTGAACCACGAGGCTTCGGGATTGCAGCGCAGCTTCTTGCCACTAGGCCACCGGAGATCCCTTTTGGTTACGTTTTATTAAGTACTTATCCTAAACACAATTCTGTGCTGAGGTGACGAGACACGAAAGAGAACACTGGAATGCTCGGAAAAGTCATGGACTGATGGATTTCTGGTTCTGCCACAGCGTCTAATCTTCTCCCACAGGCATATGCAAACACATTCAAGCACAAAGTTCGATGTGCTTTGGGTTTTATCAGCTTTTCTTGCTTCTGCTGGGATATTTTACATTAGCCTTTTTTTTTTTTTTTTAACACTAGCCATTCTATAGGCTTTTCAAACTAATTTTTTCCTTTTTGTAATCCGTTCTCAGCAAGGTCAGACATATACTGCTGGGAAATTAATCTTTCAAATCCAGAAAGGACAAATATTTCTTAATCAGTTATTACAAATCATTGCTTTTGAGATGAAACAGATTCATAGCTGACCCTTTATCCGTTTTCCAAGGCTGTAAATTCACAGAAGACTGTTCTTTCTCTGTCAGAGTTATTGGTGATTTCAACCTCTAGAGAAATCCTTAGAGTTAGACCAAAAACTCACACAAGGACTATACCACCAGAGCTTCTGAATTAGTCATTATAAGAAAATATTGTAACTTAAATCCTTCAATTAACAGCATCTTAAGTGGGGAAGGGGTGGGACTAGAGGGTGTTAGCGTGGGCTGGGTGGAAATCATGCGGCCGCACACTTTGGTGGGTAGTGGGAGGAGGGGTAAAGGAAATGGGAAAAGATCCGACAAAGATCTGGAAAGAGTGTAATGTTGGGCATGGTTCAATGTTGACTGATTTTATGAAACATAAATGAATGAGAATGTTCGTATGAAACACAATGTAAATGAAGGATAATGTGAAGTAAAATGTATATTAACTTTGAAAAAAAATAAAGACAGGGTCTGAGCTAGAAAATAAATCTCCATATTTGGGGCTTATGCAACAAAACTGTGCTGTTGCAGGCTGTTATATGAGTGCGGCTTAATTAACAATAAATAACATAAAAGGGCATTTCTTAGCAGCCAATGATTAGAAACAACCCAAGTGCCCATCAACAAATGAATGGATAGAGCTCTGGTATATTCACACAATGGAATACTATGCAGCACTAAAAAACAAAGAACTCATGAATATTATACAAAATGGATGAACCTGGAAGGTATTATGCTGAGTGAAGCATCTCAGTCACAAAAGGACAAATATTGCATAGGACCACTGTTGTAAAACGGGACTGACATCAGGGTTGAAGGAAGACAGAAAAGAGGGGAGGAATGATGTATACTGCACTGACACAAATGAGGGAAAGAACTGTTTAAAAGGGATATACGATTGGGTATTATTGTTATGACAGGAGTCTAGAACGAAGGCTGAATAGTGGAGTGGACTTGGGGGGGGTAGGGGTTGCAAAACAATGAAAGAGTTTTTCTTTCTTTTCAAGGAGAAGAGTGAATTGGGGAGGAGGGGGTGGGTAGGGAGAAAAGCGCAACAATGAATGACTGGAAACCCTATGTCTCTATAAACTTTCATTAAAATGAATAATAATAATAAAAAAAACCAAAACTGCTGCTTGATAGTGTCACAAAATGCTCTCTTTGTGACCTCTCTCTCAAACACCAACCATACTACCAAAATCCAAAATTGACATCAAATGATTTAGAAATTCAAGGGTGAAATTAAGTTTAAGCTGAATATAGACTATGACATGGGTATTATATTCGATAATAGCATTTGTCTTTTAATGAAAAATAAACTAATGAATTATCCAATGAGACTACTCCCAGGAGAGCACTCTCCCCGGGCTGTCCAGGTGGTGTAGGAGAGCACAGGGCTCTGCCCCATGATGCACAGGCCTTTCCCAGGATGCTGGAGATAACACTGGGCCCTGAGCCTGTGTCTAAACGTTCCTGCAGCCTCTCAGAGTTGTGTGGACAATGAATGAGGAGACAAACAATGCCAGAGACAGCATTCTGAAACACTCCACTTGAATTTGGATTCTACTCTACTGATGAGTAGGAGCTTTGGTGGCATACTGGATAGCTGGGCTGAGCAAGCCAAAGGTGGCTGGTCCAAATCCACCCACTGGAGAGTCAGCTATGAGCTGGTTTTGACTTGACCCCCACATAACCACAATAGATACCAATGATGAGTCAGACTTGTTTTCAACTTTCATTTTGCAGAATTCAAATAGATTGGATTAAGAGGAGGAGCCTCACTTGCCTTCTGGAAAGATGTTAAAAGAGGTTGGTGCATGTCTAAGTATGAAATTTCTGGGTTCTGGTGCTAGCACATGAACCATGGCTGGCATCAACAGGGCAGCACTGCCCGCCTCCCTGTGTGATGAACATGGCCAGTGTCCCTGGTGCCCTGTTTGCTACAACATCCATGAGCAGCCTCCCTGTCTGCAGCAACATCTGCGAGTAGTCTTCATGAGGCCCTGGACATCTTCCTCACCAACCAATCTTCAGAAGCACTCAGCCATCTTCAGAAGCACTCAGCCACCTCAAGCCCAGAACCAAGGAGGGCAGATACCACTCGCTGAAGCATGCCACCACTCTGGTGATGCAAGCCAT